TCAACCCTCCCGTCACCCCTATGAGGCAAGTGCTATTATCATCTCCCTTTTGGAGGTGCAAAGATTGGTCCAGAGCATTTTAATGATTTGCCCAAGTCACACAGCTAATACACAGCAAGCTCTTAGTTACTAGGCTGCCTCCGAAGAAAGTGAATTCTAACCAACAGCACCTTTTCCATCTTTTCTCTTCTATGTTAGTGCTGCCCCTGCTTTCTGCCCAGCAACACTGGTAGACACGGCGTATATGTCACCGACTCCATGGCTGCCGTCCTGCCCTGCAATCTTAGGTTACACATGATTCAAAGGCAGCCTCTCACAAAGCCCGCTGGCTCTCATCATCCACAGGGCTGGACCAACTCTCCACCTGGGGACTTAAATTCTGTGACCGAATAGCTCATGCAGTCAGCCAATGGCCCACTGAACGAAGGGGCTCAGGCTCCTCCCATCCGCAGCCCAAATATGTCCCCACATCTTAAGGCTCAGCAGCCACCAACAGTGCCCAGACACCTCTGGGATAAACAGTGATGTGTGAGTTTGCCTGTGAAGATCTGAGAGCATCGTAATTCAAGAAATGCAGAGGACAGGCTGTGCGAATTTAAATGAACCCATAACTCACCGGCCACCAGGGGAAATCCTATCACTTTGCACACTTTACTTCCATAGCTCGAAATCAAACCAGGGGGACATGATCAGATTTCTAATTTGGAACCTTGGACATACAACCTCATCTTTAATGACTCCTGGTAAAAGACTCATTACAGAGCGCAACCTACTGAAATTAAAACATGAAACCTAAAAATTAAGCAGAAAATTTTCAATTTCTCAGGTTCATAAGGCCACATAAAAAATCGCACAAGCGGGAATACATAAACTCCTTCGGGTTTTGTTATCCTGCAAATATTCAAGCAGAAATTATATGAAAGAGAAGAGACAGAAAAAATAAACAAATAAACCCATCAGAGATCCTAACTTTCAGGTTTGGGGCATTTGGGTGAACGGCAATTTTTCATGATCAGTCTGAACTCTCATGTCAGGCACTATTATCATTGTGCTAATGGCCGATTTCGCCTGCCCTGTGATGTGGAGCTCAGATGGCCCCGACGTGGTGGGCTGCCGGCCTCCGGTCTCCTCTCTTGCTAAGTGGACGGCCAGCACTGTCTGGTGCGGAAGGCTCCTTTAACACGGGAGGCTGAATATTCATTTCTCATCATCACTTCCAAACCTCGTTCAGTGTGGATTTTTCTAGAAGTTTGGGTAACCATTACAAAACCTCCAGAGATTGTTGTTTTTTTTAATCCTCACCCGAGGGCATTTTTCCATTTTTTGTTCAGATAGAGCGTGAGGGAGAGAGAGGAAGAGAGAGAGAGAGAAACATCGATATGAAGGGACATATCGAGTGGCTGCCACACCCTCACGACCAACCAGGGCCGGGGACAAACTGCAACCGAGGTACGTGCCCTTAGCGGGAACCGAACCCGGGTCTCTCTGTACCGCAGGCCGACGCTCTAACCGCTGAGCCAAACCGGCCAGGGCCAGAGATTGTTTTTAAATCTCTCCCCCGCCTTCCCCGTCCGCCAGCCCTTCGGGTCCCTGCAGGAACGGCTGCCAGGCCCAGCAGAAAGGCCTGCACCTCAGCTTCCGCAGGCTCCCGGCTCCGTTCTCCCCAGACAGGAGTCCAGGAAGGGGGAGCAATGCTCTGTCCGCAGCACGGCCTCAGCAGACGCCCCAGAAATATTAGCGTCAAGTGAGGCGAAAATAGAAACTACAGACTCAAAACTTAATTTTCCCTTGACATGCATTCTTCCCAAGGAAAGTCAGGAGTGTAGGCTGTGCCACCAGCCCTGGCCGTGAACATAGTGCCCCTCCTCCTGAGGGTCAAGGAGCACCTACAAGCGGCACAGAGGATAAGCTGCACGTCGTGTTCTTTTCTCGGTTAAAAACCCTCTTTCTCTGAGCCTTAAATTGTTCATTACAGCTCAGAAAGACTTAAAATCCTTCCCTTAATGCAGCTACTTAATGTGGAACAGACCCTGTGTGCAAAAAATGAAGACCTAGGTGTTTCTAAGTATAATTGGCAGACCAGAAAACCCTTCAAAAAACCAAAACAAAGTGAAAGGGGAGGGGAGTCTGCACCCATGAGCGTAACGGAAGCCAGGGTGAGTCTAGGTCACTCCCAGGAGGGCCATGTGTGTTACTTCAGCACATGTCCTGGTAAGGCTCTCCCTTTAGAACCAAACCACGCCCAGGGCTCGGCCCAGAGCTGCCCCTCAGTGACCCTTCAGCCTTGCGCTCTGGCTCACGTGGCAACGGAGGGAGGAGAGAGTGTTTCAGTAACCTGGGGTCTGCAATTTTTGAGTCTAATGCTAATCAAGGGTGACAAAGTTCTCTCTCCCCTGTAGTTTGTGTAAAACTGTGGTGTAGGAAGGCAGGACAGGGTGGGAGTGGGGAGGAGCAGGTCAATGGAAGGAGAAGGGGGGGACATGACATTTGTCGTACTTTCAACAATAAAGATTAAAAAAACAAACAAACTGAGGGTCTTACCCTGGCCAGTTTGGCTCAGCAGTTAGAGTGCCAGCCTATGGACTAGAGTCGTGGGTTCGATTTCTGGTCAAGGGCACATGCCTTGATTGTGGGTTAGATCCCTGGCCCTGGTCAGGGTTGTGTGGGAGGCAACCAATTGATATGTCTCTCTCTCTTTTTTTTTTAATCCTCACCCGAGGACTCTTTTCCATTTTTGTTCAGATAGAGTGGAAGAAAGAGAGAGAGAAACATCAACGTGAAAGGAACACATTGAATGACTGCCTCCCACATGACCCCAACCAGGGCCGGGTCGCCACCAAGGTATGTGACCTTGACCGGAATCGAATCAGCAACTCACTGGTCCATGAGCCAGCGCTCTAACCACTGAGCAAAACCAGCCAGAGCTGATGTGTCTCTCTTATATCAGTGTCTCTCTCTCTCTCTCTCTCTCTCTCCCTCCATCCCTCCCACTCTATCTAAAAAAACAAAAATCAATGGAAAAATACCCTTAGGTGAGGATTCAAAATAATAATATAAATAAATAAAATAAAACTGAGGGTCTTAGACAAAAAATAATTAATTAAGAGTTAATTAAAATAATAAAGGACAAGAAGACAACCAATCTTAATGTGAAATACAGTCAACCGTCTAAACTGCCTCTTGTGACAATCAGTGCGCTGGTACTTACGGACAAGGAGGAGGGAGCCTGGAGCCCCCAAGCCTGCCAGGGCCCTGGCTCCGTATGGTGCCGGCTGACACTGGGGAAGCCCTGCAGAAGAATGTGCTTCCCGAGAAAGCATCGGTGCAAGCGTCTACACCAAGGAGGCACACGCCGGGCACTTGTGACACGTCCCCAAACCACGCTGAGTCCTGACCCATTCATTCAGTAAATTACTTTTATGAGTAGGTTGAACATTAACACAGCGTTCCCAGCCACTCCCTGGCCACCTGGCTAGAGAGAGCCCCTTTGCTAACCTTGCCATTAAAACCGGGCACCCTGTGATATTCGATAAAGTTATTAAGGACAAATCAAAGCAATTACTTGACATTTCTTGCAATAACCAGATGACATTTCTAATCCCAAGAAGCAAAATGGACCAAAAGCAAAATGAGTTTTCAGAGGCTTAGATAAATTCAGCATCTATAATAAGTTACTATGGGAAATCAGAGTGTTGTATACTATCCACTCCTTTTGATGTTGTCGTTAATCCTCACCTGAGGATATTTTCTCCACTGATTTTTAGAGAGAGTGGAAGGGAGGGAGGGAGGGGTAGAGAGAGAGACAGAGACACATTGATGTGAGAGATACACATTGATCTGTTGTCTCCCGCAGGCACCCCAACGTAGGCTGGGGATAAAACCTGCAATCCAGGTACGTGCCCTTGACCAGGAATGGAAACCTCGACCCTTTGGTGTGCAGGCCGATGCTCTAACCACTGAGCCACACCGGCCAGGGCACCACCCCTTTTTTAATAGCAACATTAGCTATGATAATAGTCACTGAGCTCTTCCCCTTCCTATCTTTTGGCTCTTCTGTCTACAGGAATGAAATATAACACTGAATGAGCCACACGAATGAGCCAAGATGGCAGTTCTGAGCAGGGCCAAGACTAGAGTGGGGCCGATGGAGGGGCCCAGACAGCAGAACTGAAGTGGGCCTGACTCCCGTGGGTGTGCAAGTCCCCAGCCTGAGGCTCTCAGAGTAGGTTTGCAATTGCAAGGGCAAGCTTGCTGCTTGTTAAGAAAAACAAGGGGCGAGCCCACCTGGCGGACAGCAGTCAGAAACAGCGGGGTGCAGAGGGACCTTTTGGATCAAAGACTCGAGGCCAACGTAGGGTTATGGAGCAAAATCGAGAAGAGTAAGAAAACAGAATGAGCATCTCTCTAGCCCAGTGCACCAAGTGTGGGAATGACATAAGGGTGAAAGCTAACATCGGTTAACACCTACCACGTGCCAGATGCTTTCAATGCATTAGCTTACTAATCTTCACAACAGCTCTCGGAGATGCGTATTACGTCACTATCACTTAAGAGATAAGAAATGGAAGCAGAGAGCTTTAGTAAAGTGCCCAGGTCTTTGGGCTCATAAAGGCTGACACTGGCCCCTCTATCACCCTCAGCCTATTTTCCTCATTGACAGTCCCACATAGACAGATGTCCCTTTCAAGAATAAAAGACAGCAATAAAATGATCACTGTCTGGTAGCATGTCCCCAGTTAGTAAGGAAGCACTTTAGACATAACCCTTGTGCATTTGGACAGTCTTGGTGACACACTTTCTCATCTCGCCTATCGGCAGAGCCTGACAGTATTCTCGAGAGCTCAGAAAGTATGGGTTATGGTCCTGCCAGGTGAAGCAACTGACTCGCCCACTGTGGCTTGAGTGGGGGACAGGGACAGGCTGGCGGCCTGATCCCCCTGAAGCTGACCAAGCCACGGCTGCTCCAGGGACACCCCCGAAGGGCTCGATAAGCCACTGACCTCCACATGCCAGTGAAGCTGAACATGGTGCTGACACAGCGAGGGAGGGGTGGCGGCGTGAGTCCGTCCAGGCGCATGAGCAGAGCCGGGATGCCGAAGAGCACCAAGTACTTCACGTAGAAGAAGAGCACCTGGGCCAACGCCAGTCCTCCTGAAAGACAGAGGGGCGTCAGACACGGGGCGGAAGGGGAGCCCCCTCCTGGCACTGCAGCAGACACACCACCCGCTCACGCTTCTCCACCGCGCCCCTCCTTCCCTTCAGCACCCAGATTCTAAAGGACCCCACCTTGGCTGTGATCGTGGAAATTTCTGGATTAACTACCGGGGTGGTGATCACACAATGCAATCTACAGATGATGCGTTGATACAGAATTGTATACCTGAGGCCTGTATAATGTTATTAACCAATGTCACCCCGATTAATTCAATTAAAAAGAAAAAAGTTGAAAAACTAAAATAAATATAATAAAATATACAAGTTCCTTCGTTACTGGGACAGGCAGTAGGACCTCTCAACAGTCATGATTCTCCAGCAACTAGAAAAGGACACACTTCAAAAGATATGTTGTGTTGAAACAATTAGAAAGGGAAAATCCTTCCCAAATCTTTTCAACCTTACATAAGTTCACACCCACCCACTAGGATGACAAGAATCAGAGTCAATCAACAAAGGCTGGCAAAGAGGTGGACATACTGAACCATCACAGACTTGGGATGTGAAATTGTACGGTCCCTTTAAAAACAGTTTGCCAGTTCTTCAAATGACGAAACAGAGTTACCACATGACCCAGACATATACCCAAGGAAAACAAAGTCCACACAAACACTCGTGCCCCAACATTCATAACAGCACAGTGCCCAACTGTCCATTGACAGACAAATGAACAAACAAAACGTGGTGTATCTATACACTGGAATATTATTATAGCTGTTAAAATGCGGATAAACCTTGAAAACATCCTACTAAGTGAAATAAGCCAGAAACAAAAGGCCACATATTTATTATATGTTTTCATTCATATGAAAGTCCAGGACAGGAAAACAGAGACAGAAAGTTGATTAGTGGTTGCTAAGCCTGGGGATGCCGGGGGGTGGGGTAAGAAGGTGAGGATGGGATTTAGGAGGGTGTAAAGGGCAGGGATTCTTTTTTGAGGTGATAAAAATGTTCTAAAACTGGCAGCGGCGGTAGCTGCACATGCCTGTGACTGCGCTAGAAGCCACTGAGTTGTGCACTTTGAATGGGTGGATTATATGGTATGTGAACTATATCACTAATGAAGTTGTTTAAAAAAACAAAAAACACGAGGGCAGCATGCTGTAGCAGCCAGTGGCCTCCCGGCCTGGGTCACGGCTTGCTGGGGTGAGCGGATGCAGGGTGCGTGTGCTGGGCAGGGTGTGTGTGCTGGGCAGGGTGTGAGGCCTGAGACGCACACTGCAGCTCCCATGGGCCTCCACCTGCCCCGCTGGGAACGAGCCACATCTCCGGCTGGGATTCGGGGTGATCTGCCAACCACCACCTCTCCTCGGGCTTCCTGAAAGTCACTTTAACCTCTTCGCCCTGGGAGAGGTGGGAGCCAGGCCAACAAGACACCTCCGACCTGGGCCAGCTCCTGGCCCTGTCCTCGCTGGCCTGGCACCCAGGTGAGAAGGTGAGACGAGTCTGCCAGAGCACTGCCCACAAGAAGGCAAGGGCAAAGCGCGTGAGGAAGCCCTGGAGAAGACGACTGGCAGCCACGTGCTGTCCAGCCTCGGGACCACCGTCTGCAGTGTGCAGGGAAATACCACGGTGCCGGTCGGTGCCGTGATCAGGTCATATCCATGGCTGATCCCGAAAGAAATAACTAAGCCTTAAGTAAGCACTAGCAGAAAAGATTACTGTCTGGACTCTTGATGTTACACGAGGGTTTTGGAAAAAATGCCATTTCTGGGGAGTGTGTGGCTGTAAATGGTGACTGTACCAGAGGAAACACATGAGCCACTTCTGGGGACACAGTTTGGGATGGCAGACCGTGGTTCCGGTGGGAAGCCAGGCGTCCTACAAGGAGAAACCCCCAGGAATCGCTCATCCCCATTCAGGACTGGTCAAACCAACAGGTTCTTCGGACTCCTGGAAACCAGACCGCCATCACATCGGCTGGGTGGGCAGGGTATGAAACCGCCGCCTTCTGAGACGCGACTGACAGGGGTCAAGGGAAGAAGCTGACATATGTGTGAATATATATGTACGTAGGCATGTGTGCGTGTGTGCTTACACACATTCATCAAGAAGTGGGATAGATGACGCCCGGCCGGTGTGGCTCAGTGGTTGAGCATTGATTCGTGCACCAAGAGGCCGCCAGTTCGATCCCCGGTCAGGGCACATGCCCAGGTTGTGGGCCCGATCCCCAGTAGGGGACATGCGGGAAGCGGCTAATTGATATTCTCTCTCATTGATGTTTCTATTTCTCTCTCCCTCTCCCTTCCTCTCTCTAAAAAATCAATAAAGAAAAAATATTTTTTAAAAAATAAGTGGGATATATGTGCTAGCTATTGCTATGTGGCTACCCTGAATCAAGAAAAATCAGTTCCACTTGCTGAGATGGCAATGAAGGGACACAAAAGTACTCTGGCCAGAAAAACCCCAGAGCTAGAAATGCTAGGACACGGGTAAGGATGACTGACCGAGGGCGCAACGCTTCCAGAACTAACTGACCAGCCTGGAACTGAAGGCGCCGCAGGACCCGGGAGGGCCGGCGTGGTGCGCGCCCACGGAGCTGTCCCGCAGAGGGAGGATCCTCTTCCCGCTAACAGGCTGCTTCCTGTCTCAGACACTGCCTTTAATTTGATACTGTTTTTGTACAGTTGTTGTATCTGAGGCATATGAAATAAAATCATAGCTGAGTCTACCTTTTGGAGTCACCATTCACACACAATGTTTACCGCTTGTGAGTATTTTCACATAGAATTGGGCTGAAGAACTGGTTGATTTAGTATAGGGACTTACTGTAACTCTACGGTAGAGGAAGCTGAAGTGAATTGGAGATTTTTACCCCAATCTGCATGGAAAGCACAAGAAACCACACATTTATCAACATGCAACTGGCGCCCTATTTACCTGTTGTTGAATATTTTTGATGGATTAAGATACAAAAGCTTTAACCCTGGCCAGTTTGGCTCAGCAGTTAGAACGTCAGCCCACAGACCAGAGAGACCCAGGTTCGGTTCCCACTAAGGGCACGTACCTCCATTGCAGTTTGTCCCAGGCCCCACTTGGGGTCCTGTGGGTGGCAACCAGTCGATGTGTCTCTCTCTCACATCGATGTTTCTCTCTCTCTCTCCCGTTCTATCTGAGGATAAATGCAAAAATGTCCTCAGGTGAGGATAAAACAAAAAAAGATATGAAAGGTTTACATTTATCTTTTCATGTGATATTTCATGTGCTTATAAAAAAAGAATGTATAATGGTTTTAAGGCACTAGAACTGTAATATTTGTATTATCTTTAAGAAAATTGTATTTGTATCAGAGTTTAAGAACTCTGCTATCTTGCTGCTGATGTTCATCCACACTATGAAGGACACCTAGCTCATTACTCTTCCCCTTGACCAAAAGACTGGTCTGTCCCTTGTCAGAGTTGTTCTAAGGTTACAGGGTTAACCCTAGGATGTTGCTGCAGTCTCACTAGGCACACAGTACGACGAAAAGCGACATAAGAATAAAAACAAGTCTACTCTGATTAAAATTTATTTGACATATATATATTGAATTAGCTTTCATTCTCTCCAAAAATACAAAATATAGCTATTTTTTGATACTTAATTTTTTTTTTTTGCTGAGTTTGTATTTAAAAGATTCATTAACAAGAGTTGTGATTGATTTTACCTAACCTAACCCCTTCCCCCGAAAAACAAAGTCATGGATGACATCCGTGTGTTCATCGAGCATGTGCTCAGTACCTGACTACTGACTCACCAGCTATGAGAAACAGACTGGAGGTCAAGGCAGGCAGGGACCCAGCCTCAGGGACTCACGGGTCAGTTCATTGCAGTCACATTTACCGCCCCCCTTCGGCACTTGGTGTTTTCCCCGCCCGTATGCCCATCGCCCCTTCTCCTCTTGGCAAAAACCGTGGATCCTTCAATCCAGTTCAAATATGGCCCCTTCCTTGTATCTTCTCTGTGCCCCATGCAGAATTAAGGATTTATTTTTGCATTCATGTAGAGTTATTGAGCACCAACTGCTTGCCAGGCACTGAACAATATAGTGGTAGAAAACAAGGCATGAGCCCTGCCCTTATAGAGCACACGGTCTGTTAAAAGAGACAGAAAAATATAAATCTGAAGTGGGATTAAAACCCACGCCACTAGGGCAGGCAACAGTCTGAACACAGTGGCTTAGACACATCTGTTAGAACATTTAGCAAATATTCACTGTGTAGTGTGTGTGTGTGTGTGTATAAAATAGATCATCTCCACTTCGGGGCAAGTCCACTAACACACTAGTTCCTGAGAGGGCATTGTGGCATAATAATAACAGCTACTGATTATTAAACACTTACTATCTCCATATGCCAAGTAGTACGCATCATCATATTTAATTATTACATCACACTTCTCCGTGGGCATTGTCATTACCCATGTTTCACAGATAGGAACCTGGGCACAGAAAAGTGACAAAATTCACCTAAGATCACACAGTAACAAGTAGCAGTGTCGGGACTTGAACCCGGGTCTGCTTGGCTCAGAGTCACCATGTTCAGCAGATGCACATATATCTCTGAGACCACAGTCCAGGCGAAGCAGACCAGACGGCGGGACGCAGCAGCTGTCAGTGGGAGCTGAAGGAAGCCATCCACGCAGAAAATCAAATGCAGAGACAGCTCTAAAGTCCTCGGGAAAGCCAGCCTCGAGGAGCACCCTGGGAGCAAAGATACCCAAGAAACAAGAGCACGTGGTGGTGCGCTGCAGGGAGCATCTCCACGTCACACACTCCAAACCCTGATCCTCTCTGCGTCAAGATGAGTTGTCATTAACTCACGAGCCAGAGGAGAGCTTACCTCCAAATATGGTTTATCTTCAAACATATGAGTTATTGGAAAATCCAGTTTTTAAAACTTTCTACTTCTTAGGGTTTAAATCACCAAAATGCCTCTCTCCAAAGAAAGAGTATGTTG